AAAAAAAAAAAAAAAAAAAAAAAAAAAAAAAAAAAAAAAAAAAAAAAAAAAAAAGATACAAGCACCTCGACAATGAATAAGAACAAGAACACTACCAGTTGAGTTATTTGACCATCAAATCCATTAAAGGAGGGGCTGCTAATAAATTTCTACTCTTGAAATTTGTGAACCAAAAACAAAAGCATACCAGCCATTCGATTAGTTGACTTTCTTGTAAGAATCAAGGCTCCAGATTTGTGTTTATACACCCTTCACCAAACTCTTAACCAATCATTATTGATTGTTATGAAATTAAATATACCCCATTTCTTCGTCTTTTTTCTATGGGTTAATAAATATATTAATAAAATTATAATTTTAGACGCCAATTTAATGATTTGGTCAAACTTTTTTAAAATTTTTTTGTAATTTTGGAAATATTTTAAAATACAGATCGGAAACTAAAGAGAGAAAAAGAAAAAAAATCCAACCACTAGCTGTCCTTGATAGATGAAGGTCGGGTAAGCTTAACAAGTGTTCCCACTTGCTTCAGTCAAGAGCCTTCACCTATTTCACACACCATATTCCTACGTTTTTTCTCACAAAAAATAAAATAAATAAATAAATTTAACAGTTTTTATATTATATTCGCCTATTTGTTAGGGTGATATAAGGAGTACATCTTAATTAAAATAAGATAAAATAAAACAAGTGCTTGTAATTATGGAATTTAAGATTTTAGTATCTTTCCACAATCATTTTGTTATTTACTTACTAACATAACCCTTATTTAAAATCAAATCAAGTGTATCTTTAAAATCATTTTCTTTTTCAATATCATTACTATTAAATTCAAAGTGGTTGACTAAGATAAAGAATTAATCCTGCTTACACTTAAAATTACTATTTAAAACCCACTCACTTTATTTATTTTAAAACATTCATCCAACATTTTAGAATTATTACATATTTTTTATAATATGTTTTTTAAAGTTTAATAATATTTTTAAATAGATTACGATAAAAAAAAAAGTGGTTTAATTATTATTATTTTGTTTTTATTGTAAGATTGGATTAATTCATTTCATTTATTAAAATATTTTCGTTATCTTTCTATTTTAGGAACATTAAATTTTAAAGGAATATATGTTGGATTTTGATAAAAAAAAAATAAATAAATAACGATTTTTAACAGGGAAAAAAATAATAAAAAGTTAATTATATTATTTTAAGCAAAATATGAATTAATTTTTAATATAGAAATATATTAAATTAAAAATTAAGACGCCAACTTAACAAGAAACATGGGGAGACGTGCGAATTAGAAATTAATTTGAATATTGAAATATAATTGAATTTAGTTATTAATTATTTTATAAAACGGTGGAGATAAAATTTGGAATGGTACCTTGCGATGGCGGGGGGATCCCAAGAGGACGGCACGGCGGCGCGGACCTCATCGGAGAGGCGGAGCGGATAGCGATCAATGTGAGCGTTAAAGAGACTGATGAAGTAACCGTCAAGCCCTAAGCATTTGGTGTTCACCGCATCCATCGCCCAACACCCGCTCTGGAATCCGAACATCGCATTGAAGAAACCGGACGGAATTTTTCCTGGAATCGAACATTTCCGATTGAAAAGTTCCGACATCTGCGAATCGCAATCGCCATTGATTCCGATATGAATCGAATTTCAGAAACATCGAAAACAGAGGAGAGGAGAAGAGAATAAGAAATCGATTTAGGGCTTCACCTGATTGAAGTTGAGGATATCAGACTGGTAGCGAGTCCGATCGCCTCGATCGCATTTGATATCGATTGAGACGTCCTTAACAGGGCCGAAGCCAGGAACGATGAGATCTCGTCTCTGCGCTTCGTTGAGCAGGACGAGCCTGTGTTTGCCTTTGCAGTACTTGAGCTTGAAATCGGAGGTCAGATCAAAGCCTTTCCCGAGGCTGGCGAGAGCGGCGTCCACAATTCCATCTCCCATTCTGTTGCTCTGTGTTGAGAAGCAGAGATTAATGGCGGAAGGAGATTATCTTCTCCTGTTTCTTATTCTCTCACTCAATGCAAATTTTGTTGACGAGGTCATCCCTTTTTTTTTTTTCTTTTTTTTATTTGCTTAGTCAATTAAACGACTTCAAATTTTATTATTCTTTATATTATATTAAAATAAAATAACTTCTTTTGCTTTCTCACCATTTTTTATAAATAGTAATTCATTTAAGTTAGGCACCAATTTAAAAGGAAAACTATAATAATAAAATCTGGAGGTATTTAAGTAAATATGTTTTTTAAAATTCTTTAAAATTTTATAATTATATCAGGCCAATGTATTATTATCATTTTAAGGTTCGATAGTCAAATTTCTACTCCCGCAATTATTGGACTAAAAAAATTCATTTTTTCACTCATTATGGTCAAAAGAAGAATTAGCTAAGGTAGAAATGAGAACTAGAAAAAGAAGGGATTGACCAAAGTTGTCCCGAAGTTTGAAGATTCTTGGTATCATCTGCTCGACTTAGCTTAATCTTCCTTTTGACTTAAATTGTAAAGAAAGTTATCGAGCTTTTCTATTAAAATATCAAGAAAATTTAACATTTGTTGGGTGAAAAATCGTACTTAAATAAGAATTTTATGTATATGACTTACGTTTACGAGTTCAAAAGTTTGAATTAATATAGCTAGCAAAATTAATAAAGTTGCACCATCGACCAATCAAATTTATGTATCGATCGATACAAAACTCTCTAAAACTATTTGAACATAGTTCGTTCTAATCAAACGTCTTTATTAAGTATACTATCCAAGCTTGCCAATGAAGTTGACACAAGAGGCCAATGTGAACGTGAAAGAGGCCAATGTGAAATTTGTAGTTAGTCAAGTTTCTAGTGGTAGAAAAAGACAAATAGTATCGCTTGTGTGAAAGATAGGAAGCAAACACACTTTATTATAAAGGGACAATACGTTAGGTCCTACAAGAAAACTTTTGTCGTGTATACATAAAATACCCATAAATCGACCTTTTGTGTGTGTGATAGTATTATCTGGATAGCTCGATAGCATAAATGTTGAAAATATTATCATAAATTTGAATTCTCCTACTATTATGTCTTAAAAAATGTTTTATTTTAACACAACTCTTTCCATACATATCTTAATTCATTTACGAATGGCTCTTTTTGAAGACTTATTCAATAAATTGATTAAAGAAGTCAAAACACATCTTCGTTATTTAAATGTTGATTGTAAAACCTACTCTTCATATATATTATTAGTCCCTTGATGTGCATAATATGAGTACATGTTAACTACATGTCGAGCTATATTTACTTTGTTTTTTAACTAATATGAATTGATGTATAACGACTCATGTCCAAAATTTAGATCAGAATTTTGATAACCCTAACATTTCTCTGCAACATGGTCATGTTATTCTTATCTTAAATTATTTTTATGAGCGAAGACTATTCTCATAAACTAATACGAGTTCTTTTAGTATATCTTGTACTCACTCAAATGTTTTATGAGCGAGTACTATTTTCATAGACAATCATATTTAACTTGAAGTTCTTATGATTGAGATACTGAGGAAAAAAAAACACACACACACACAAACAGATTGTTGATATAAGTAATAGCTATAACTTCTCTTAACAATTTCTTAATCATCATTTCATAACCTTATAACCCGTCTTATTGATTGATTCATATTTCTCTTTTTTGTAACTCAAATGTAATAGAATAAAAATTGACAAATGTACGAACACAACGCAAGTCAAGTCAAGTAAAACGGACTTTCAATTGGCAAACACAAAAGCTTCATGATTTTGTGGTCTTTTTTCCATTCAAGTCTTTAGCTTTTGTAATGGTTTGAAGACAAGTTCCAAACTTTATAGTTATGATGTGATTGTTTGTGTATAATAATGGCTACTACACAGCATGTTCATATATCATATTTGAGTACCCATTTAAAAGTAGAGTAAGGAACATACCCATCATTTAAAATTCTAAATAAATATTTGTATTCAATAAAATGAATCAAATTCCCAACATTTGTTATAATATAGATGAACAGAAATGTGAAAGGAACTAAAACATATGATTGGCCCCATCCATATTATTCTAAAACTATATTAAATTATTTTATGACATTTATATGATATATAAGTGGAGTTAAAATTATTTAATACCAAACCCAAAATATAAATTAATAAAATCAAGGGGGCTGTTTGCAAATCACACTTTTAACTTCCAAACTTTTGGCTATAATTTTATAATATAGCAGATTATATTTTATTTTAAAAAAAAATCATTAGTAATGAATCCTCCAAACACAATTTTTTTTTAATTCTTTTAATGATTCCTTAATATTAACATTTACATTTTTCAAACAAATATGTGAGAAGGATATTCATATGACTTGATAATCTAATCTGTCTGAACTATCGATACTCAATTTAAATTAACGAAAATTGAATGGAGTTAGATTTTTTTTTTCTTCTAATTAGGATTAGGTTGAATTTTTAAAAAATCTAAAAATTCATGTCATTTTGGAGATTGACATGTTTTTAGTTGGATTGACTCGAAAATAAGTTTACAATCTAATCCAGTCATACTCTACTCTTAAGATTATTATAAAAATTAAGAACCATAGATGTTTGATACGAGATTTATGAGATTTTAGTTGTTAATGTAAGTGGATAAATATGTGTTAAGGATATTTAATACTAAATTATAATTTATTATATATATCATATTTGATATTTTATTAAAGGTAAATATTTAGAGATTTGCCCCTTATAACCCGTCTTATAACCCGTTTCTATATATTGTTCTAAATAAATAAAAAATAAAGTTGATATTATATAAAAATAAAGAGTGAGCAATGAATGTGAAAAGGAGTAAGTAGAAAAATTACCATTATGTGTGAAAGGAGGAAAGGAAGTCTATGTAGACACACAAGTCTTTGCTTTGAAATTTGGAGTGTAATTAATTTAGGATAAATTTTTATGGGTTCTCCTTTTTTCTATTTTTAAAATGTAAAATAATGGTTAGTTTTAAATGTTTTTATTATGATTATAATTTTCCAAATATCTTGGTATTTTCACGTTCTTCTTTTGACTTTGATGTAATATCAAAATCTTCGTCCATAATTCAAATTTCATACTCTACGATTCGGATGAGAGCGGTTTAGATGGCGCTCATCACGAGTTTAAGGTACTTTATAGGTCTCTTTTTTGCTCGTTAATAATAATTTTACTTATTTATTTTCTATGTTACAAAATTGAATTTGTTTACGACCTATTTCTTCCGAGTTTATTTTAGGTTGTTGTTCAATAACAATTTTTAAAAAGTTTTTAAATCTAATTTGAAAATTTTTAAAAAATTCCTTACAAAATTGAAAATATATATATATATTTTTTTTACCTATTCATCCTAATTAAATAATTAAATACATTTAAGATATTTAAAGTTAATTAATTAAAAAAATTTAATAGTTAATTTCAATCATTTTAATATTTATTATAAAAATAAATTAAAATGTAGATTTAAACAAATTTTTATTTATTTATTATAATTGGTTAAGTATTAATTTTGGTAAACTAAGGTTAGTTAGTTAATTAATTAATTCACTATATTGAAAATACAATTACAAATAAAAATATAAGCAAATTAAGAAAGGGAAACAAAAAAGAAAACTCATGATTTTGTAACGGCATTGAATACTATAATAATAAATGATTATTGGGAATACATTATTTCCTAATATTTATTTACTAACCTTTAAACTCTAAATTTTAAATATGTGTGGCAAATTACAAGAAGGGGTAGTACGTTGCTAGTTCGATTTATGTCTCCTCCATCTTGTTTCTTTATGTTCCGTAAGAGATGTGTTTTAAAATCGTGAGGTTAACGACGATACACAATGGGCCAAAGTGGATAAAATCTGTTGGTAGTGGTCTTAGGCTGTTACAAATGGTATTAGAGTAAGATACTGCGTGGTGTGCTAGTGAAGATGCTGGGTCTCCGAGAGGGGTAGATTGTGAGATCTCACATCAATTCGAGAGGGGAACGAAACATTCTTAATAAGGGTGTGGAAACATCTCCATAAGAGACGCGTTAGTGAGTTTGAGCTGTCACAAATAGTATCAGAGCCACACACTGCATGGTGTGCTAGCGTGGATGCTAGCCCCCAAAGGGGTAGATTGTGAGATCGTACAAAACACTCAAACCTCTCCTTAAGAGACATATCTTAAAACGGTGAGGTTGATAGTTTGTGAGATTATAGGAAACATTCCTTATAAGAATGTCTAAGGGTGTGGAAACCTCTCACTAAGAAATGCGTTTCAAACCGTAAAGTTGACAGTAATAAATAACGAGCATGGACCAAAACAACAATATTCGTTAATAGTAAACTTACAATAAACCATACTAAACATATTTTAAATTTTGAAATCAATTGATTGGCTTGTTTTATAATGATTAGAGAGCATTTACACAGCCACAGCCAAGTTTTATTAGGAATAATAGGCTTCACAACTAGACACGAAACGCCTTTGCAATAAGGAAAGCAGCGGCGGATGCAATGGCTCCAATAAACGCTGTTTGTAAGGCACTCATTATGGGACGATTGCCAGTGAAATGCCCCTTTGCAAACCCGAACACTAGCAGTGCTATTATGGTTACTATCACAGAGGCAACCACACCATCTTCAGCTGCCTCGAACACCATGTATGGCGACAACGGCACCAACCCTCCTATTATGTACGACACCGCTATTGTCATTGCGCTAATTACAGCCCTCTTTGGGTCTGGCTTTTCCAAACCCAGTTCAAATCTGCGCCCATCATCAACACTCTTAATTACTTTACATCATCATTTAAACAAACCCCTTTTGTGAATTTAAACAAACCTCACTTACTTCATCATGAAATCAACCCATGCTTCAGGGTTCCTTCTAAGAGCTGCAACCACTGGCTCATATTCATGGGCTTCAACACCATATTGTGCCAAGATATCTGCTACTTCAGCCGCCTCTGAAATTATTAAATCACAATTAACTCTTAATCCATAATTAAATAAGCAATTCTGTTGAAAATCAC